GACGACGACATATATATATATATATATATATATATATATATATATATTCCAGAGTTGATTTAAAACTTATCTATGCTGTCGTACATGCTTTCATCAGCGCATGACAGATCAGTGGTGTCCACAACGCTATAGTCCACGGAGTCTTCGTACTCCTTCAACCCCGCAGCGATCTCTGGATGATGCGGCAATGCCCATGGCCCCCGTTCCTCTTCATGTTCCTGTTTGGCTTCCAGGTGTCCCTTCTCTTCCTCGCCCCCAGAAGTAGCAGCAACCCTAGTGGGTGCCCGCAACATGGACTCTGGCGTCATAGTCATCTGCTGCTCTTCCATCCGCGGTGACGCATGCGCCATTGCGGCTGCAATCAACTGCTCCAACGCAGATGACTTCTGCGAACACTGCAGCCGCCGTGCCGTGTTCATCTCCGACTCACCTACAAGGCTTAGGTTACTCTCTTCCTCAAAGACTCCCAATGTCTGCTGCAGCCCGTGCATGCGTGCAAAATCCTGAATCAGCAACAGTGCCACGCGGCCCTCCGGCAAGAGGTCACCTGGCAGTATCGTTTTCCCTACAGCAGCTGTGCGAAGATGCGGATCGCCGCGAATGACGCTGATGGCTGCGGCGCGGAGTTGTGCCCGCAACTTCCCCAACACGCCGGCGTTCCGCAGCGCCTCGGCGAAAGCGCCTTGAAGCTCAAGAAGCGTCGTATTGATTTCATTTGTATCTTCCTCAACAGGATTTTCCTCCATTACACATACCTCTCCTCACTTTGGACGCCTTTGCTTGGTGGTGCGCCTTTCTTTCCCACCCCGCCTCTGTTTGTTCTAAAGTTCACTGGCAGGAATGGAGGGGAAAAAGTGGTGCGTGTACGCGTTTGCTTCAAAGACCGCCAACCCCCCAAAGAAAAAAAAACAGGGCGCAAAAGAAGAAATGGTTCTGGACGTGCAGTAAGGAGCCTCTCTACACCCTTACAGAGAGACACAGCGAGAGAGCAAAAAATAAACGGGAAACCGATCGACTAGAGTACCTACACCCATGTATGCATGCGTTATTAGAAATGAATGGCTAGGAGGCACAGGAAAATCCGCAGCTCCGCTGGCCCTTAGATGTCAACTGCTTCCCGTAAGAGTTACACGAGGATGTATGTTTCACACTTAATGCATAACGAGGACCGGAGACTAGTGGAACTGAGACGCAAAAAAACGGACTGTTCCATCGTCACTTGCCGTGGCAACCATGCCAGCGTCTTCAATAACAATGAGGCTGAGAACCATACGGCGGTGCCCCATGAGGCGTACGAGTGGTTGCTGCTCCAGTGAACGTCCGTCCCACACTTTAACCTCCCCATCGCTGCAGCCGGCAACGATAAAGTGGCAACACGCCCACACTGCAGGAATGATGCTCTCGCCAACGCGAAGCACCACTCGGAGCGTAAGGTCTGCGGTATTCCAAACGGCTATCGAGCAGTCACATGATGCAGAAAGCAGCAGTGGCGGCGAAGCAACGTGTTCAGCCGCATTACTGTGACTGATACAAAGGCTTTCAATCGCTTGACTGTGTGTCTCTTGCATCGAGGTGACAGCTCGCCCACTGCGCAGCGAGATGATATGCATCGTGCCATCCTCACAGCCAACAACGCAGCGGTCATCGTCGCCGAGAAGGCAGAGCGCTGTAACAGGCGCCCTGTGAGGGCTGAGGCCTTTAGTAATGTACGCCTCCTGCTCCCCGGTCTTGGGGCTAAACACAATGACGCTGCCGTCACCGCTGCCTGTCAGAACCTTCTTGTGATCTGGCGACCACGCCATGCACGTCACAGGGCCGCTGTGGCCAGCGAAGTACATGGCGAGCGTCCCCTTTGCAACATTCCACATTGCCGCCTGCGCGTCCTCCCCGCCAGCGAGCAGCACAAGACTGGATGGGTGCCACAGCAGTGTCAGGATCTCGCCACTGAGGTCACGGAGGCAGTGCTGCAGCTCCCACGTCGACGTGGACCAGAGCGCCACCACGGAGTCAAGACCACTGCTTGCAAGGCAAGTCCCATCCGGTGAGAAGGCCAAAAGGCTGACAGTGTCGCTATGGCCCTGCAACACCGCCCTTGTTTCTATAGTATGCCCATCCGCTGCGAGCCGCAGAATGTACACCTCGTCACTCTCCCCACTCGCCGCAAAAATGTGGGCATCGTGTGGATGTACAACAATGGCATGCAGCGGACGCCCGTCACGTCCACGGAACACGCAGAGGGCGTCATCGCGCTCCGGCTCACGGTCCGGAATAGCGTTGAGATCCTCTGCACCCTCTACTTCATCAGCCGTGTCGTGTTCCCCGGCGTCAGCGGAATCAAAGGCCCCACAGCGTTGCGCTTCTTCTTCATCCTCCTGCAGCTCGCCGTCGTCGTCTCCAATTTCAGCCATCTTGCTCTCGTCGAGAATCTCGTTGTCGGGGTCATCAAGGTCAAGGAAAGCGTCCTGCAGCTCCTCCACATCCTCCTCTGCCGCTCCGAAATGCATGTCGGACGGACGATTCATCTCTACTTGCTTTCGCACTGTTTCTTCCCCTCCCTTTTTATTATTTGCTGTTCCGCTATTCTTGTCGTTGGCCACACACACACACACAGAGAAACACTGCAATGCGTCAGACATGAGTGAAGGCAGGCACGAGAGGAGGGATACGACACGTGCACAGGAAGCCATACACACACACACACGGCACACACAGATCCAGTTAGAAAAAGCAGCGACAAAACAAAAAAAAAAGCACAAATGTACATAAAAACATGATATTAATATATGAGGAAACATGTATGTCAAACAAGCCCACTGACGTATCAAGAAGGAGGATCAACTAATATATATATAAACAGGAGCGTAGAAGGAATGTAGGGGGGGGGGGGGTAATGGGAAGAAGCCTTCACAAACAGCCATCATGGCATCTACCATTCCACGATTCACCTGGTATTTAGCCTTCAATCGCATCAAGCACACACACACACTCTAGCAAACAAAATAAAAAGAAAACAGACAAGCACACACATACGCCACACTAACTGAAACGCCTATACCAAACAATACATCAAAAGAAACAATAAGCATCACTGCTTCGCTTTAACCCTTACACTCTTCCTCTTCTATGCCGCCGCACCACGGATAACCCCATTCGAGGTAGACCTAGTTTGCCTGCTCCTTGCCTTTTCCCCGTCACTGGTTGCTCTGCCTCGTGCTCCTGCAGTTGCAGCCGTCCCCACAGCGTCACTTGTACCCCCTGGGGCTGGGGCGGAGGCCAGATTTGCCTCCGCCACAGCCGTCTTTATTTGCTCACGGATGGCGGCGTTATCGATGGCAAGGATGCGCCTCTCCGTCAGCACAAGTTTGCGCTCCTGCACGAGTGCAGTGGTGATGGACACAGCGAGATCACGCACCACACGGCTTTGATGATTAATGCAGGGAAGCAGCAGTTTCGTCCACACACTGTCCGTATGGTTGCGCAGTCCCATGCGACCGGTCGTCACTAACTGCTCGAATACTGTCAGACGAGCGACCTGCACCCGCTGGCCACTGTTTGGCAGCCGACGCCGTTCCTTGTCCACCGGCTCCGCCAGCACCGCGGTGAGAATCGTTGGGTTCGTCAAGGAAGGCGTCTTGATACACAACGCCAGCGTCTTCAAGGCCTCCTCCCGGACGCGCGGATTGGCGTCCGCAGCGCAGCAAAGTAGCCGTGGCAACAAGTTCACCACCGGCGCAAGCACAGAGGAGAGGCATTTGTATTCATCCGCCAGCACCATACGCACAAATGCGTTGGCCATGGTGACAACGTTGGGGAGCGTGTCCTGCAGCCCATGCCCATTCATGTCAAAAAAACGGAGCACAGCCTCTTCAATCAGTGAAGGTGGTGCCGGGTAAAGCTCACGCATTCGGCCCATGAGCACGTCAAGCGTCGCCTCACGCAGCTTGAAGCGTCTACTAAACAAACAGCAAGCAGTAAACATCCCTACGGCGCCGACAAGGTCCAACGCCTCACGCGTATTCTTCACGTAGGAATTAAACATAGCTGGCCCCTCGGTTTCCGAGGAGGTTGCCATGATGGCCTCCGCCACGCAACGCTCCCACGCCTGCAGCTTCTCTTCCTCCACCTTTGGCGTGGTAGCGTCCGCGTCATCGCACGGCGGTGGCGGCGGGTCCACCGTATCTATTTCGTGTGTGATATCTCGCACCTTGTCTGCCATCCGCTGCGCGCACTTTGACACCAGTGGCGCGGCATTCTCCTCAGCATAGTCGTTCATGGCCATGTCTCCGTCGTTGTTGTAAGCGTCCGCCTCATTGAAGCCATTTTCACTGTCTGCACTCCCACCACGACTACTTGCATCACGGCGACTTTTATGCCTACTGCGTTCTTCACCAACCCCCACCATGTCCCCATGCAGGGCTTGGGGCATGAGACCCCCATCAAACGTATCGCCGACGCACGCATACTGATCAAAGTCCGGGCGCGGCAGCGGCAGCTGGGCATCCCTGTACACACTCTCTATCATGGCGTCCATCATGCGCTTGGCCTCTTTCGCCGCATCAAAGTCCTCTTCTATGATGGCGTGAACCTTATCCTGCTCCACTTGGTAGATGCGCTTCGATCGCCGGTTCATGAGGTTGAGGCGGTCGCGGCACTGCTTCGCAATATCAAAGTCCTCCACAGCGACCGCTTGATCCTTCAATGCGAGCAGCTCCTCCGAGCGGCGGATGAAGAACTCCTCAAACTCGAGAATACGGACAGAGCGAAAGGCAGCAGGGTCATTTCCACTTGGAATGATGTCGCGCACTGGAGTCAGCGGGGGCGAATGCGACAACGCTTGCGGCTGCTGCGCAAGGTAGCTAGGCGGCAGCTGGGGCTGCGGCGGTGTCTGCAACTGCTCCTGTTGCTTTTGCGGAGAGCCTCTGGGGGAGTCCAATGTCGCGCCTCTTGAGGGCGGCGCCAACTCCCCACCGTTCACTCTGTTGCTGTAGCTACCAAGAACGAGTGCCTTGTCGGAGTGGCGCCGCACGCGCGTGAGAATCCGCCCGTTGCAGTCGATGGAGTACACCCCAACCTGATTGAACACGTTGTGCGCATTGTGGTGCGGGATGTTGAAGAGTAGCTTCACAAAGTACGCCACCGCTTGCATGTGGATCGTCTTGCGCTCCTTCGAGCGGTAGTCTGAGTGCTCGTTGCTGTTGAAGTCCACCACACCAAGCTTCGTGAAGTGGACGGCTCGAAACGACGGCGGGTCCATCTCCATCTGCTTCCCGTTAAGTGCAAAGAGGCGCAACTCCACCTTGGAAGCAATCTTGCACTCGTGGCTCAATATACCCAGCTGCGTCAGCTCCACATTCCCAGGAAAACGCAACACGATCGTTTGCGGCATCTTTGCATTCCGTGCACTCTGCCAGCCCTTGCAACGCTGGTGCATGGCTGCGGCGCCCACGCCTCCGGATCCTGCAGCATGCTCTAACTCGTCAATGGGGTACTCGTCCTCCTGACTCGTGCAGTAGACAATGTCGTATGGGACACGCTTCTCCATCCCTAGCTTTTACGACTGGCGCACTAATGCGCTCAACAGCTACGTTTCCACGGATGCGCAGGATCGTGTGCGGCACACGACGGACAAAGTGCGGTGCAAAGGCAGAGGTGAGGGAATAGGATATATATGTATATATATATATACACACACACACATACAGAGAGAGAGAGAGAGATCGTAAGCAGTTCAATATCCATCTCGAAAACAAAAAAAAAAAAATGCCTTGCATTTCCCTTTCTTTCCTCACCCGTTCATTCTTTTTCTCCTGCTTCGCTGTTACGCTTCCCGCATAGTCGCTACTCGTAGGGACGATGGTCATGCTGCCTCCTCGTGAAAATGTTGTTGTGTTTTCTCCTGCTGCGGCGTCTCACGAATAAGTGGGAACTCCGGCAGGGTTATGATGTCTACCTCATAATGCGGCTGCATCCGGCGCAGAAACTCCGGGTTCAGGGGCCCCAGTGTCTCATCGTACCACGCCGACGGTGCTGGTTGCCGCAAAGTCGCGCGTTGTTTCGCCATCGCTGCCTCGGCCCTTTTTTCAAGCTCCAGCCGTCGAAGCAACGTCAGCTCCGCCACGCGCATCGCCCCGGTCGTTGTGGTCAGCGCGTACTTCTCCACCTGCAGGCCGCGCCGCTCCACCTCCCGCTCAAAGGCGCCACGCCCGCTATGGTGCAGACCCATATTGTTGTTGTGGCTCTGCGTGCTGCGGCGCGCGTTGAGACTGTTGCGGGTCTGCAACCGCTCCATATCGTAGTACCACCGCATTGCGGCCCGGGCGGAGAGATAGCGGTTTGCCTTGTAGTCGTTCACGTGGTCCTCGTCCCACAGGCCGGTGCCTTTCTTGTACTTCATGGTGAAGCCGCCCCATGCGACGGCGGTCCGCCTCATCCTCGCAGCGGAGCCTCCTCTGCGTGCCCATGAGCGCAGCCACCATCCCCATAGCAGGAAACCAAAAACAAAAACAAAAAACAAAAAGACAAAAATTCATTCCTGACAAGACCAGGAGGCGCCACGGCCAGCACGGGCGGGCGGGCAAGAAAACACACACGCCCACGGAGAGAAAGGAAAATAAGCAAAAAAAAACCGACCCATAGGGCGGGGCTGTAAAACAGATACAAACACAGCCCAAGAGAAGCAGTGGAGTGAGTGGGGCTTCTCAGCGCCGTCCGTCTCACCAGCAAAACATTTCACGCATTTGCATCTTCGCCACATGCCGACGGAAACCCACCGGCATTCCGCGAGGCCGACAACGCCTACGACGCAAAAAAGAAGAGGAGTAACGGCAGGAGAGACGCCACCACTTTGGCTGTTTCGCACCTCGCAGCTTCACCTCCGACTCCAGCAGCATCGCTGCATGTGCGTCAAAGTCACAGCTGCACTGCAGCGCCTTCAGCTGTGCGAGTCGAAGGAGCGGCAGGAAGGTGCGTCACCCCCGGCGGAATGATGCGCAGCGCCGACTCCCACCGGCCACGCGCCAAAAGTGCGCCTGCAACACATGCAAGTGTTGCAATCAACACGGTGTCATCCCCCCGGGTGCGACAGCTCGCCTGGCCCGCCGCCGTCAAATATCCCTTGTTCACCCCTCCCCATTCCGTCGCCATCACGCCACGAAGAAGAGTGACGACGCTGTCGCTTCCAGATGAGGCCAACCTAACGGCATGGTGAACCCCCACCTCCCTTTTGCAGCCAGCCCTATCACCAAAAACCACTTTTCCGCCACAGCACATCTTGCAGGGCGTGGCGCCACAGTCCCACGGCCTGCTTCATGTAGAGCGCCGTCGCCACTGATACCCTCCCTAGCTACCGCAGTATCTGATCACCACCATGCCGTCTTTTTTGTCGCAACAGTCACCGTTATGACGCCAACCCTCGGACGAAGCCAAGTCACCTGTGCGGAGCGGAGAAGGCGGTGCAGTGCACTGAGTTCCAGTGGCGCCGATGATGACCAAGGCACCGCTGCGCCACCGCCACCACCCTCCGCAGCGGCGTCACTCTCCTCACTCAAGATCTGCAGCATCGCATAGACGACAGGGGTGGGAGCGAAGGCTGAAATGGACTCCAAGCAACTGCGTGGGTAGTGCAGGAGGCCCAAAACACACACCGTGGAAAGTAGATGCGGCCCAGTGCTCCATGAGTTTAACGGGATCTCACGCATTCACCCCGCCGTACGCTCCGCAAAGGCACGAAACACAGCTGGAGCGCACTCGGCAAACAAACTCCGCGCACTTCGAACCACACGCTCCAACTGAGCGGCGTCCCCATCGATGTCGTAAACGCTTTCAAAAACCTCAACCAGAGCTACCATCTCCGGTACAACGCCACGTTCAGCAGCTAGCTGCAGTACCATGTCGACGGAGTTGTATCGCTTGTGACGGAGAACCAAACGAATGCAAGAGGACAAGCGCGAGGACGGCAAGTGCGGCATGGCGGCAGCCACACGGGGGATGTATCGCGTTGACAATGACCAGAAGCTCTGTCCTCCTTGAGGCTGCAACCTCTGCAAAGCGTCGCCATAGACTTGCTGACATACCTTCAAAAGCCTCAGGCAGGTCCAGTACTTCTGCCGTTGCTTTCGCTTCAAAAAGGAGACTGCAACCATTATCACCGCCACAGGAGTGATACGGAGAGGATCAGAATCGCACCATCACGTAGTAGCAGTCGGATGGTGATAAATCCATCAGCCCTCGCAGAGCATCCAATGCCATCACCACACCAGCATGATGTGTATGCTGCATAAGTCGCACAATACAATTCCAGCTGGAACGACATGATGGCAAGAGGGCCAACGCAGTGGAGGCCGAGCCAAGCCGTAACTCAAAGTGTAGCCTAGGCGCCAGAGCACTCACAGCATCGTCTGACAACGGTGCGGCTGTCTGTACGTACTGCAGGGCCGTCGCACTGGCCCCGTTACTCCTATTGTTATTCCCAATATTACTACTGGCATTCTCCTCAACCGCCGTGCCACACGCATTTCCCCACTCCCTCCGCGTGAGTTCGGCGACGACGCGGTCCATGGTATACGTTGCCACCATAGGTGGCATCGTTTTGCGCAGCGCCTCAATAGAACCGATTGAAGAGGATGAGGAGGAGGTGGAAAAGGTGTAGGACGGTGGTGGAGGTGCAGTAGCATCGCCGTTTCGCACGGCCCGCAGAAACACTATCATGTCGGGGCCAAAGCCACAACCATTGCGACGCCTCCCCTTGTCTTCTACGGTTTCTAGCAGGACCCCTGCGGCAGAGGAACGGTACGCAGCGGACTCGTACCAGAGCTCAGACTCCTCGCACAACAACGCTAGAGCCTCCGCCGTCAAGACGCATTCGCCCAAACGCAGCGCCGTCATGGTCCTCACACGGAGTTCCGCGCTGCTGCTGCTGCTGCCACCACCGTCACCAAAAACCACGCAACGTATCACTTCCGCGATCCACCGCACTTCAACAACCGAACTCACATCAGACACTACCGTCATCGCCTGCAGCACCACCCACGCCTCCTCCCGCGTAAAGCGTCGATCGCTCCGGAGGGTTGCCAACGCCTCATGGAGTCGCTCGTGGCAAACGGTATGATGCGAACGCAGTAGAGCCGCCACCGTGGCGGCACGGACAGTGACAGGCAAGCAACGCAACACATCTGTCACACATAAGCCGCTGTTGGATGCATACATGCAACCAAGCGCCATTGATACTCACCGCTGGTTGACTCGTACTTGTGTGTCCTGGCACAGGTATCGCAAGCTGTCAAGATCCAGAAGCGCGCGCTGAGCCTGGCGGGCGTACCAGCGCGCCCTGGGAAGCTGAAGCGCGGCCCACCCATCATCGTCAGCAGCACCATCCGCGCCAGCTTTAAAACCACCATCAGCATCGTCCGCTGCAACCACCCCGTCTTGTTTTTCTCCTGTTTGTCGTGGCCTACCGCCCGAAACAAACCTCTGTGGCACATGCATGGCGACAGAATCAAGCTCCACCGCGGTCAGCGACCGTCGCTGGCGCAAGCAAACATGGTGCCGTCGCAGAGAAACAACTACATCCCTACTACTACCATCACTACGGTGATGACCAATTATTGGTGTATCTCACGAGAGCAACAGCGGCAGCGGCGGCAGATGTATCCGTAAAGATAAATACAGCTAGCATCCTCGCCGTGCGCTGCGTGAGCCCCCACAGCTCTCTCAGCAGCAGAAGCGGGGAAATCACCCGAGCCATCCAAAGCACACGTGCGCGCGATACACCTGTCACGACACGTGGGAAAAACCGCACAAGCTTTCTCCAGTGAATTCTCTCCGGAAGCTGTATCGTTTCCACGGAAGCAAACCCACTTCCAGCCACTTTCCCTCCAAAGGCTGTTGCCGAGTCAAGCAGCAGGCGTGAGGCCCGCGAAGCACGATGTGTTTGAAAGACATCCTCCACACGATCTGCAGGACGTTGTACCATGCAGGCCGTTTGTAATGTCTCACCTCACCAGGTGAAAGGGGTTGCCTCCAATGCAACTCCTCGAGAAAAAAATGGCGGAAAAAAAAGAAAAAGGAGAGAAAAAGGCGACAACAGCGGCGTTACGCGACTGCAACAAACACATATTCATACAACTGAACTATTGTAGTGGCAGTGGACACGTTGCAAAAAAAAAAAAAAAACGTACACGCACACACACACAAAATCCAATATAAAAAATGAGAGTGAGACTAGAAGGGGTGCGGCGAATGGCAATTCTACATACAAAATGCTGCAGCATGGCATCAACCACTAAAAACAAACTAACAAACAAGAATGAAAACGTAAGCCACATTTCCCATAAATAACGCAATTTTCAATCGTGGTACGCTTGAAATGGAGTCGCTGGCAACGCGTCAGACATGAGGAGCACGGCCTTCGTTCTCCCCTTTCACCCATGCCGCTCATGTGTGCATGTCTCCGGCTATACGTTCGCATTCGTGACGTTATCTACATTTCGTGTGATTTGTTCCTCATCTTTTTTCTCCATTCTCCCGTTGCGTAAACCATTGAGCCTCAATGGGCATTCATGGCAGTTAAAAGTGAGGTGAGCAAGACCCCCACGGAGAGGGCCACACCTGCCCGTCCTTCATGCAGCTCCTCCCGCATAAGTATTACAAGGCCGGCAAAAAGAAAGAAGCCACTGCCCAAAGCTCGGGCCAGTGCCAGCCACAAATTCCCTCTGTAACTGCGTGAGCCCAGGCTGCCCCCGGCAGCATTCGTAGAGCACTTCAGACTGGTGTTCTCGAGTGACGTATTCGCACCATCAACACCGGAGTTATCGGTAAGCGCCACACACAGGATAAGAACGGCCGGCATCACGCCAAGCCATAAAATGATAAAACAGTTCCCTAAGCGACGCCTAAACATTGCATAAAGCTCACCGCAGGCGCTGTTTTCAGTGGCATTGGGCGGCGCCACCTCTTCAAGCTCCTCCATTTCGACGCAGAGGTCCTTTGCAATACAGACTCCGACGACAACACCGTCAAAAAAGCGATGAATAAAGATAGGTATCGCAGAGCCCAAGAGAGCAGAGGTTGAGCCCTCAAGCCCCAGTAGGACCCCCTCCACCGCGGCGTGAAGACACATGGGCAGCATAATAAATGACATCAGCAATCGTCGCCGATGACCCTCGTGCATGAGGCCCAAGCCGTGCCCACTGTGTGTCACGTCGTCAACGGTACCAAGTTCAATCACGGCTGGAATAAGAACGCCGAGCATAAGAGTGGCGCAGATTACTGTCGGGGACACGGCATCCCCTGCCGTCACGATGGCATCCGGCATAAAATGTACCAGCGCCATTGCAATCAACAAACCAGCCGAGAGGCAATTCGCCAGCGACAACAGTCGCGACATCTCCATGAGTTGCACATGGGGCCGGGGTGATGTGTTATCTATGGTCTTCCGCACGCACAGAAAAGGCGTCCACAGCCCTAGGACAGTAGCGGCCGTCAAGGTCACCGCTGCCCCAATCTTAATCAACGCCACATCGGTCATCCTTGATGTGGCCTAAGCGCAGGTCCCCAGAAATTTCCACGGTGAATCGCCCCGTCCCCACCCCGCACTTCCGCTCCTCTGCACACCACTGCTCACTTAACCACAATACTCCAAACAAAAAGAGACATGCAAACCAGCAACCGAGACAAGAGGAGCACAATTTGCATAAATGCTGTTACATCCAGTCGTGAAGAGTGACGCACACACGCATACACACTTCGGCGATGCGTGGGCACCCGCGGGGCATGAAGCCGTCCACTGAGCAGCAGCAGCAGCAATATCAAGAACGTTCTCCCTATTTCCACCAGAAAAGAACGAACAATTGTGCTCAACGACACCCCTCACAACGCTGTTTGGCACACCATATTATTGACACAAGACCCCAACGTAGATAACGCCACCCCACGGGCCCATATCCCACACACAAAGAGACAGGCGGGTACATGTATGTGCGTACACTGCATGTAAATAAATAAATAAGAAGATTCACGGTTGCTATTTACGGACAGTAAAACGCCGTCGCCGCCCCATACAAGATAAATGTATCTAAGCAAACACTCCTTGCGCACCGTGACCGCACAGGGATGGTATCGTAAGTAAATATATTGACCGCAAGGGTAGGGAAAAGGAAAGAAAGAGGAATACAAACTGAAGAAGCAAAGAAGGGGAGGGGGGGGCTTTGGGCAAAAAGTTTAACAACACTCAGCAATAACATGGGTAGGAGAAGAGCAAATCATTGAGATCGATTCATCCACACAATCGCACACGAGCCAGAAAAGGTTATACACATCTACACGCATTCACATGTGCTGAAAAAAAAATTTGTGATTCCTAAGGACGAGAAACAAACGTAAAAGGAAATACATTGCAAAACTATCCCCCCTCTATTTCACTATGTGTGTGTGTTGGGTAGACACGAGAGATCACAAGAAAATAATGCAAAAAAAAAAGATCAAGCATGCGTACAGTTATTTAAATACCCGCACTGTCCGTTCGGCGCGGCTATGCGGCGCGGCCGTCCTTACCACAAATAGCAAACCTTTTCCTCCTCTCATCATCCGTCCCGTTGCAGGTAATTGAGCACACACTAGAGTGGAGGAATGCTAGTCTTACCTTGCCCTCCTCCGTCCCGCTAGCAAGGGCTGATCTACGGGTAGAGCTGCCAAAACAGCACACCAAAAAGGACACACTTGCTCAAGTCCATCAAGAGGCCAAAAGCTAAGGTTTACTTCATCAAATTGGCGCCCCCACCACCACCACAAAGTGAAGCGGGTAGACCGTGTGGGCGGCAAGAAATGCCCCAGCCAACATCTCAAGTAGTTGCAGTGCGGTGATAAGTGGGGCAATGGGACGAATGTGGCACAGGGGTCCGACCTGCACAAACGCAATGTAATGGGAAATAAAGTGGAATAAATCGCACCTTTCGTGATGGCAAAAAAACTACCAACGTGAAGTAAGGTGCGCGACGAGTGCCGGCAAAAGGCTGTCACGTGGTGGTGGTATCAGTGCAGAAAGAGCACAGGCTTCATCTGCGGGGTGAGAAAGAGGATGCCCAGCGGCTCCGGCGCTTTACTATAGGCGACTACGGCAATCCAGAGGCAAACTCGCCCATCAAAATTTTTATCGCTGAGACTGCAGCGTATTCAGCAGAGTCCGCGCTCCCGCCACGGCTCAAGATACGTGGGGAGCCGCGAGCAGGTGCCAAAAGCAGAGAATACGTTCAGGAACAAATTCCACAAGCAGTAAACGTGGCGGAGCGAAGCGGGTTTGCGGTCTTCCAGCATCCTCAGCACCCAAACGACAACCCAGAGACGCATCACGGTCAAGTAGAGAGCGCAGTCCAGATGGGTACCACCGTAAGCCACGGCGCATCGGCCCCGCCCAAAGTTCGCCGATATGCTGTCAATGTAGCGAGCGGTGGTGCCCACCGGTTCCATCACACCCATCAACCGCTCCATCAGCCGTCGCTGTTGTTGCCATGACCTTTGTTTGTGTGCCGGATGAAGCGCCCCGATCTCTTCCTCTCCCGCGACGTGCAGGCAGCACAACACATGCGTAAAAAAAGACAAACATAGAGAGTAAGGATTGCGGAGCAGCAACAATGTCACCAAGCAGAACTATATGAACGCAAAGGTTCAGTGGGGGGAGCAGAAAAGGAGGATACGTGTGTTTTCATTATACACATGTCTACACATACATACAGTCCACGTGGAGGAAAGTAATAGTAAAGCAAATCATATAATTTACATTGTGAATGTTGTATAAAATAAGAAGAAACAACATAACGAAACCCCCATTTCACTCTCTACGCGTTTTTTTTGTTTTCATATTTCCCCACCCGCGTACATCTTTGTTGCCTGATAGTTTTATCCCCCTTTTTCTCTCTTACTGCATCATTCTCTACACAAAACAGTTGCGCGCCTTGTCTTCACGTCGGTTCATGACGCATTCTTCGGGCAAAGTGTCATGCAGCGTAGCACGCAACATTGAACCCTCAACCGTACTGGAGATGGACTTCTCACTCTTGGGAGGCAGTTCTTTGGCCTGCCGCGCACGCGTCCCGCCACGCCTCCGTACCAGCGGGTTTTTGCAGCTGGTACGTGCATCTATACCGCCGCCATGTTCGGCGAGAGTCATGAAAGAGTTGCTCCAAATACGTAGCGGGTCGGTGTCATTGCCGCGCACCGACGCAATGTTTTGTGGGTGGGAGGGAACATATCCTGCGTAACCGGGTACCGCTGTCTCCAACACCTTCGCGGTGCCAATAAAGAGCGGATGAGAGGTTCCCATACGCGTGATGACACGCTGCTGCACGGGAAGCGTCTGCGAGACTGTTGCCGCACCCGGCAGGCGGGTGATAGGACCGGCGTCAAAGCCTAACTGAGCCTCCGTCGGTGGGGCAAGTTGCGTGCAGTCAACAATGTCGAGGCAGTACCGCGCGGGGCGACCGTTCTCGTCGGTGTCGCATCTCGGACGAACGGGGCGAAAGGTGCGGTACGTGTTTGCAGCAGGACAGAGAACGGGGTTGTTTGCCCGTTTGCGCATAATGTCTACATTCCGCTGTGTGTTTCCGACGAGACCGCTGCGATGGTCGTCGTCCTCGCGTTCAAGCTTGCGAGCGGTGCTGTAAAAGTTGTGCGACACGACGGGTAGTAATTCGCGAGTGCTCACCTGCTGCTCCGTCTCCCATGCACTGGGCATGTGTCTGGTGAAAACAGGCTCAACGAACCGCGTCCTCCGCGCACCGTGCAAAGCCTCCGTTGGCGGCGGAGATGGCAGCGGTGCCTGTGACTCCTTCTGCTCGCGGTGTGACAGCTCCTTCGTGCTGCCCGCGCCTCCGCCTCGTGCGGAGGATGCTGCCTCTGTCGCTCTCCGGGAGCGGAGGAGGGTGAGGTAGCGATTGTCGTCGGAGGGGTCCGTGCGGGCGCGGACGGTGGCGTATGCGGCGTCGTATGTTGTATGAATGCCGCGATGCAGCGCAGAGATAGCGGAGACAAATTCATCAGACCGCTGCTGCTGCTTCCACGCCACCCGCTCGCACAAAGGTGCCCTGGTGTTTACCGCCGTCTTCAGCGTGACGGCATAAGGTTCACTGCTCATGGAGACGTCAGACCTCCTGTCGGCTGCTCAAGAAGAGGCACACACGCACGCAACGAGGGAGAAAAGAAGGCAACGACCACTCTTTGTCCTTCCTTATCTACGCGAAAAATAGAACAGCCACGGGAAAGAGACGGGTCGACCGGGGAGACGCACACACACTTTACATGCACCTCCATCGTTAGAGAGCGACGAAGAGGGAGATAGAAAAAAAAAAGAGTGAGGGGGGCATTCATCTCTGTCACAGTGGGAATCTCACAAATAGCGGCCAACGAGCAGACTGAATGCGGCGACACCGTCACCCACCTCCTGCGGCGCCACCCTCGCGACGGTGCAGTAGGTGGCATCCAGGGGGCAGCCCAGTTCAGCCGCAGTGCCGGTGCCGCCAGGAAACATCTTTGGAACACGCAAAATTCGACACATGGGAGGCGCCTCGTCCCCCTCCAATGCGTCCTCCGCAGTAGTTCCGCCCAACCCCTCGCCACGCAACGGAGAGTGGAAGAGCGCACGCAACTCCCCTTCCCCCCGCAACAACGCCACACCCATAAATGCACTCGACTCGTGCATCACAACACCCAACGCAGAGCTGACAACCTCGGGGATGGCAGAGCAGGAGGACGCCCCCCCGTTTCGCTTCCACCGCCATCGCTCCACAACCACCAGAAGCCCAAAGAGAGGGAAAGCACGCAAGAGCTGTAGCTGCTGCGCATCGCAGTGGCCATCCGAATGTGTCTCCCACAACGCATGCCACTGCTTCTTGTAACGACGGCGCTGCTGGAGGACAGAGGCCAAAGCGGTCCAGAGGGCCGCGTTGAGGCATGCCTCTACCTCGTCAGATTTCTGCCCCGCCCCCACAGAACGACAGCAGCGGCGGCGGCGGCTCTTGACGAGGCGCGACTGCCCCTCCAGTGAGAGCGTTTTAAAGAGCTTGAAGAGCGCGGTCGCCTTAGTTACGCCTTTGCTCAGCGAGCGGAGTTTACGCGCGGTGAGGCGACGGACATGACACGGTGGCGGCGAATTTGCGGAGGAAGTGCCCAAAGCGGCGGGGACAGACGAAACGCACGACTGCATTGTCTTGGCCGTCAGAGGCGTCTGGAGTTTCTGGTCGCTGCCACACCCTGCCACTGCGTGTTTGGGTGCACGCCTCTTTTCCTTCTTCGGTGCGGCTCCCCTCGTCCGCGTCACCTCCTCTTTCACGTGCGTGCCTCCCGTCGCCTTCTGCTGCTGCTGCTTCTTCTTCCTCGTCTTCATCATCTCTGGGCGCAGTGAAACAAAAAAGGGGTTACACCCCCGCACCACCGCGGCAGTGATGCCCTGCGGCGGGCGGTTTCGGTGCTTCCGATACGTTCCTCCCTCCTCCTTCCCCCTCATGTGCCTTTTTTCCTTGTCGTCGTTCCCGCACACACCAGCCTTGTCTATGATGGCGTCCAGAACGTCACCCACACATTTGCCGCCACTGCTGCTTCTACAAACCAACGCTCCCCGCATCTCCTACTGGGCATCCATACATAGCAAATGCGCACAAAAAACAACAACAGAAAAAGGGAGTGAATGAGTGACAGATAAAACGAAGCCTGACAGAGAAATACACTCACACACGCACATACACAGCCGCAGCATCCCATACTGTCCACGACGCGTCACGGTAGATACAAATTCTGCAATTACCACCAGAAGAGTTTTGCTGCCAGCCGCTTCTCTCGCAGAATATGCAGGTCAACGGCGGAGTGACTAAACGTACTGTAGCGGTTAAGCACCATCACCTCTGCCAGTGAGATAAGAGTCAAGTCCATCCACGCAGCCTCAGACTCCGTGTAGTAAGTAGCGTGACGCGGCCAGTATGACGGTGGTACCTCGCCAACACCCGCACGCTCGACATGGAGAAGACCCACGTCCGTGTCTTTCCCAGCGTTATCTGCGGAGGCAGCCACAAATGATAAAAGAGTTAGATGCCTCGTGGCTGGTTGTCCCCGCAGTGCTACCGCCAGCTGCGCTCGGAAACGCGCAACGTTAGTCATCAGCATCACCTTCGTAATGTGTGTGTATGTCTGTGTCACGTTTGCAATGGTTGCAACGATATGCAGCAGCGAGGGGTGACACTCCTCCCAGAAGTTTGTGCCCAGTATGCTGGAGTTCACATGACGCCAACGCTTCAAGTAAACAAACGGTGGTACACGATACTTATGACGACCCCTCCCGTGTTCATTTTCGCGGCAAAACTTTTTATAATCGCCACGACGAACGTGAAGTGCCATCACTGCGTGCATGTGCTTCTGCAACGGTGAAGGTGATATGCCACGCCGCCGCAAAAAGTCCAACGCCGCCCGAGCAAACCAGGTATGGGGCCGCAGCGAACGGCGCAGGTCCCAGTACACTGCTGTGCCCCATATATGATCCACAGACGCCGGACACGTCAACAGCGAGGGCTGCTCACTCCAACCATACGCGTCGGACAAACATACTCGCGTCACATGCACCTCGGCAGGCTGTGGTGAGGTATCAACATTGTCGAGTGGCCCCAACGTCACCTGCGACGGCCCCACAGCTCCACCTGTTCCGCGCCGCACACGAATGTCAGCAAACACCAGCAGTTCACTCCAACGAAACCAGGTGTATGTATAGTCGTCCCCGCCCACAGCGTATCGGTGTCTTCCCTCTTTTCCACCCATAGGCGAGCACGTGATGTCATTCCACTTGAAAAAAGACATGTGCTTCGGATTTCCAGCGCTAGGAGCAGCAGAGGAACTCGGCGCCGCACCACGCCGTGCGTCCCGCACAGCAAGACAATGCAGCCGCCCCATTAGCAGCATCAACTGGTTATTCATCCCCGACGTCAAGCACGGCCAAGAACTATTCATCTTCTGGCCCCAAAACCAAAAGTCACCAAGAGATTCAAAACTGCTCCGTGGCATGTCACAGCCTTGCCACGTCGACACCGCCAACCCTCTCAACAGGGGTTGCAAAGGCGTCGACGCAACACCGCCGCCCAAAAGCGCTGCCTCCTCAGAGAAAATCATCCAAAAACTACAAAATGCAAAACAAAAACACGATATTGCAAACACTACAAAGACATAGCGAAGACCACGACGGCACCGCCACACAGAACCATAGCCACTACAAGCCCAGCAACGCTGCCGCATCCAACCACAGCTGCCAAGCTACACTAGAAGAGAGACCTAAAACAAAAACAAAAATAAGGAGATCCCAAAAAAAAAACAAAAAAACAGACAACTTAAACCAGCAACACTGACCAATACAACCAACCACAATATCAAATTAAAAAAAAATACACCCTCCTATAGTCAACATATAGCAAGCTTGGCTCGCCCCATTCTCATTCTCCTTCCCATTCCCCGTTGCTGTTCTATCTATGACTGCAGGTGAGTGGCGTTGCCGCCGGATCACCCGCCGTAAAGGCCATTTCTACCGTGTGGAAACTCTCACGCATAGCCGTACAGGATCTTGCCGCGCTTACGCAGCGCGTTCACCACGTCGACGGCCGTGACGGTCTTCTTGCGGGCGTACTCCGTGTACGCCGTGGCGTCGCGCACGACGCCCTCCACGAACGACTTGATCACGCCACGCACCTCGTCGTAGATGACACCAGAGATGCGCTTCACGCCACCACGGCGCGCCAGGCGGCGAATGGACCCGCGCGTGATGCCGCGGACGTTCTCGCGCAGAATCTTCTTCTGGCGCTTCTGCGTTCCCTTCGCCTCACCGCTCTTCTTACCCTTGGCCATCGTGCTGTGTTTGCTTGACTGTGCGATTGAATTCTGCGTGGGAAAACAAGTAAGACAAACAGAGAGAAAAACAAATGATAATCAACAAACGTGGGACTGGGCGCCGGCAAGGCACAGCCGGCGCCGCAACGTGTGCGCCTCCACACACCCCACCCCTGAGTGGCTCGCCCCATTCTCATTCTCCTTCCCATTCCCCGTTGCTGTTCTATCTATGACTGCAGGTGAGTGGCGTTGCTTCTGAGTGTGTGGAGTGGGTTATTGGATAAATTGCTCATATGTTTGATGTTTGTGAGGATTGTTTTTTTTTGTTTTTTAAATATGTGTCTTGGTTCAATAGCTGTTGTCTTATTTTATGTGCTTTTGTTGTATGTGTGTTGTAGTGTTCTTCCAGCAGATGGGAGGCCCACGAGCAGCATGAGTTTGCTGGTTACTCACACACTTAGGTGCGTGAGAGCGTAGCTGCGGCTGCGGGTACTATGTCTCTGGTGTATGGGTTTGTGTGTTTGGGCTGTAACGGTGCTTGTCGTCTTCAGTTGTTATGTGGGCTTTGTTTGAGATACGCGAGTGCGTGGGGAGAGAAGAAGCGGGAGTTGTTTGCCTTGTCGCTGGAGTTTAGGGTTAGTGCGCCAAAGGTATCGTACTCAAAGAGGAGTGGTAGGGGAGTAATAGTTATACAAGCATGAATAAATAAACGCATGTGCAGAGTCGTTTTTCATACGTGTTGATTGTGGGGAAGAACATATTTTTATTTTTATTTTTCGTTGTTTTGTGTTTTGTTGCAGTTTGGTCGTGGCATCGTTTTTTTGCTTCTTTCGTTTTACTCGTGTGTCGTAGTTCCTTTTCTTCTTTACGCGTGTTTGGCCTTCTTGCGCCTGGGTCGCTGCGCCGTGTCTTTCTCGCTAGTTCCGGGGGACGTGCTGCCGTCGTCATCGTCAGAGTACAATTCGCCCCTGGCGGCTTTGATAAGTCGCGCAAAAGACCCATTACTGTCACCGCCGTCGCTCTCGTCGTCGTCGTCGCTGTGATCGGGACGCTTGCCACCGTTGGTGGCAGAGTCAGCGGTTTCGCTGAGGGATGCGCGTTTCGTGATTTTCCCGCTGCGTTGCAGCCGCCGCAGCCGCCGAAGTCGCTTCGCGCGCTCCGTGTCGTTGCCTGCCTCCCGCAACATGCGCTCCCGCAGTTGCCCTGCGTACTCAGCATTGTTTATGTCCTGCTCGTCATTTCCCTCGTGTTTCGTCCCCACCGCCGCTGCAAGGAGGGCACTGCGGCGCTCACTGCTGCCCTCCTCCTCCTCCTCCTCGTCTTCGTCAGAGAAGACGATGTGTTCGCTAAGGCCGAGGTCCCGCACACGCAGATCTGCTGCCTGGATGAACTTCCGCACCTTACGCTTTGAGAGCCCGGCCATGCGCTCCGCCAGGGTGAGCCGCATTGATGTTGTTCCCTGCTGCTGCTGCGGCTCATCAGGGCCGCCACCACCGTCATTGTTGCCGTCGCGCTTATTGTCGTTGATCCGCAGGAAGGTGCTGGTCGTGCGTGGACGTCTCTTGAGGAATCCATCGTCCTCGTCCTCCCCCTCGTTATCGCTTCTACTGCCGGGAGCATAGGGCTTCCCCTTCGCCGTATTACTACCACTATTATGAATATTATCGCCCGTGTCATCACTGTCATCGTCATGCGTTGCGTAGCGCTGTTTTTGCTGCATCGTGCGAAACATGTCCGACGCGGCGAGGTGTTTCTCACGGCGTGTGACATGCTGCTGCGTTTGGGAGTCTTGTTGCTTGTCACGTTGAGCCATGTAGTTGATGACGTCCCAGGGCAAATTCTTCGCCCCCCGTCGCAGGTTCTGCAGCTCAGCCATGTTAGGAACCTTCAGCAGCCCTAGCGAGTGGGCGAAGGCCCCAAGGTCGATGGCGCTCACGTCAAAGACGTGTTTGTTGGCGGCAAAGTAGATGGAGCGGAGGTATGCGATGAAGGCCTTCTGCGCCTCATACTTGAGCCCCTGCACCACCAACGCAACAAAAATCTCCTTTGACTCATGCAGCAGCCCAGGACGAATGGCGATCTCACGCAGTGGAATATGCTTGTGGGCGAGAAACGACAGCATGGGGGTCTCCTGCGGTGTTAGAAATAGCAGGCTCACCCCGCGTGCCCCGGCGCGTGCGGTACGCCCGGCACGATGAATGTACGTTTGTGCACTATCCGGACAGTCGTACTGCACGGCCCAATGGACAAGCGGGAAGTCCAGTCCGCGTGCAGCAATATCGGTGCAGAAGAGAACAGCGGCCTTGCAGCGGCAGAAGGTCAAGAAGACCTCCTCGCGACGAAACTGTTTCATTTTGCTCGTGAGGCACATGGATGGGATACGCATCTTCTTTAGAATTTTGGAAAAGGCGAGATACATGTACCGCACCTGATTGCAGGTACTTACGAAGACGACCGTCTTATCATTCGGGTGCCGCTTGAGAAACATGAGAAGGGCGTCCAACTTGCGGTGGAGCTCAAGCACAATAAAGTTTTGGCAGAGCGTCGCTGGCGTGGGTGCAGCCGTGACTGCGTGTGATGTAACATAACGCTGATTCCGCAACGACATCTGGGCAAGCATCTGAACATCCGTCGTCTGCGTCGCGGAGAAGAGCAGCGTCTGCCGGGCGGTGGGTAGGTGCCGCAGAATACCGCAAATGGCGTCACGGAAGCCCATGTCTAGCAGTCTGTCGGCCTCATCCATGACAAACAACTGCATGTTGTCTGTCACAAGGTTCGCGTCATCCTCAAGGTGGTGCAGCACGCGGCCCGGTGTTCCGACAATAATACTGATCGCTGCCAGACGCTTCCGCTCCTCCTCCACGTCACGACCGCCGGTGAGAAGCGCTGCGGAGAGGGTGTGCTTGTAGCCGACGAGCTGCAGCACCTTGAAGATCTGCAGTGCGAGCTCACGGGTGGGGCTTAAGACGAGCGCCCCAACGCCAAGTTCCGCATCCCACTGCTCGACAAAAAGCCGCTCGAGCACCGGCACGACAAAACACAACGTCTTGCCGGAGCCTGTCTTGGCCGCACCGAGCACGTCGTATCCTGCAAGCGCGAGATGCAGCGCGTCACTCTGAATGGGCGTCATACGTTTGTAGCCACCGCGCTCAAGGCCGAGCTGTGTGCGTTGCGACAGAGGTAGTTGATTGAAGTGCGTGTATTCATGTGGCTCCATCGCCTCCGCTTGCTGCCCACCCGCGTGACCGCCAGTATCTATAGCGTCAAGTGAGGCACGTAACCCCTCAAGGCGTTTTCGCAGCTCAAGAATTTCGGCGCGGCTCAACCTTGACCGCTCCTGTCGCTCCAGCCATCGTTGTTGGTTCTTCTTCAGTTTCGCCCTGCGTCGATCCTCGTCCATGACGGGGGGCCCCACACACACAGTGGCAGTTGCTGTTTCCACTCTGCACGTGTGTGTGAGTGTGTGGCACAACAAAGGGGGAGGCGCAGGTGAGAAGCAAAAAAAATAAAAATAAAATAAAAATTCATCAACCGCGAGGAATACACTCAAGTCACATGACACAAATACGGGCAGTCAGTCTGTAGTGGATGCACGTATCTGTGTGGAGACACCAGTGAAAAAAAGAGAGGAAACAGCGAGGGGCCAAACTGTGTGTGTTAGTAGATGGGAAGCCGGCAAGAAGGTGGACTCACACCTATACATGTAATGTACCTTCATTCGCGAGAAAGGAGGCAACACGCAAACAACAAGCACCAAAACTAAACGCAGTAAACCAACAAAACAGGAGGAAGAATGGCATGAAGGAGGCGTATCGGTTACAACTGCAAAAATATGGGTAACAAGGGCGCTGCACTGCATATATATATATAAGTTTTCATTCTTTCTTTGCCCTCTTCATTAGAAGGCACGGTATTCAATGTCCATGTATGCTGGTTCCACTGGTTTGCTCTCTTCATGCAGTGCATCCGCAAGCCGTTGGCGGTACTGCGCGATGCGTGCTGAAATAATCTCCTTGCGGAACTTCGAAAGGTGCAGGCGAATGAGGCTCAGAGCGCCGTTGATGTCGGCGTAGCCCGAGTCCTTGAACATCCACTTCGCCACACACTCCGCGATAAGAAGATTGTGCACGTAGCCCTCGCTGCCCATGCTGCCGCACGTTGGACATCGGAAGAGACTCGGTGCGATGCTCAGTGAGTCGAAACACGTCAGGCAAAAGGTGTGGCCACAGGGCCAAAACAAAACAGGATCCTCAAAGAACAAGCCACACACGCGACACGTCAAGGACTCCTCTATGGCCTCATTGACGTCCGTCAACTCCTCTACGAGAATATCGAGGCGACGCACATGGTCACGGAAGATTCGCTCCCTTTCCGAAAACCGCACCATCCACGCTAACTGCTGCTCGAGTGTATCGGAAAGGATATTGTTTTGCACCCCCAGCGAGCGGTAGCGGGGGCCGCATGAGAGCTCCTCCTCAAAGGTGCGGCTCACCGTCTGGTCGCCGAGTTCCTGCAGTGTGCGCCAGAGCCAGTAGCGGTGCAGCATGTTCACGCGGTCGACGTACCGCCCGCGAATAAGCTCCTCGTTCACATTGAACTTCTCCTGAAGCAAGCGGACCTCCGCCTCCATCTCCGTCCGCACCCCTGCAATGGTGTCTTTACGCAGGCTAATGATTTGCTCCATCACCTTCGACATGAGCATCAGGCGGCGCAAGACCCGCTCTGTCTTGTGGATCTCAAGCTCCAGCTTCTCCGCCTTCTCCTGCGCGCGGCGTGCCACGACGTCCGACCTGCCCGGCATCCCGCTCTCATTGTTCAACCGCTCTAGCTCCAGCTCCGCAAGCCGCGAGCGCAGGGAAACGAGAGACTGCGTAAGCCTCAGTGCCAACTCCTGTGGCTGCCGCAGGGACAACAGATACTCTAGCGGTGACCTCGCCTCATCCAGCAGGTGTGTCTCATCCTCTAAGAGCTCTTGCAGCTCCTTAAAATCCTCCTCATCCTGCAGCTTCGCTGGCGCCTCCTGCTTTTCCTTTCGTCGCCGCCGCAGAGAGTCGCCCTGAAACGACGGCTCCTTCTTGTTGAAGTTGTTCTTTTTTGGCATCCCACGTGTGTGTATGCGTGTGTATGTGCGGAGAGAAGATACAAGGCACTCCCTACTTATACATTTTCGTCATGCATTGCGTGCCAGTATCAATAAACGCACCAGGCAGAGCAACAAGACCAACAACAACACGACAAAAAAAAAACAAAAAAAATTTAATGCACATAAAACGAAGCGACTGTCGCTGCAAGCACGCATCCGCTACCTTATGTACATGCCTGCGGGCCCGTATGCAAACATTGGGTCTGGCAATGCAAAAAAAAAAAAATGAGTGGGGAAAATTTGGGAGATTGGTTCACACGATTCACAGGAACTCAGCCTCGGGAGTCCAGAAACCGTCAAGCAGCCCGATACGCCGCCCCTTCGGACTATAGACGCGCTCTCGCTGGAGAATAGGCTCAAAGCACTTGCGACAGTGAAATTCAATAGACTTTTTCGCCGCGACGCCGCCAGCCGCATCTGCCACATCTGCATTAATGCTGACCTCGCGCAGATGCGTAAACACACGTGGGAAGTCGTAGTCGCCATGCATGGCGACCACATTCCACGCCGCCTTAGCCGCCGCCTCGGACTCGTCTGCTGCTGCCATCGTGGGGTGTGGACTCCTCGCCGTACGCTTCATCTTTGCAGCAGGCACCTGGGCGTCAGGGTCGCCCAGAACAAAGGTGCCAAGATGCTCGCGAACAAACGTCTCAAGGCGCGGGGGAAGCGGGGTGGGAGGCGCCGTGATGGTAAACTCCACAAGGCTGACAGGGTGTACCGAGTAATACGCATTTCGCTTCACCTGGTGCGTGCAGACACACGACGACGAGGCGGCCTCCGTCGACGATTGTGTGACACGTCTCGTGGTGTTAGGGAGACCGCAATCGTCACTGCACCGCAGCGCAAAGAGATGACCGGCCTCCACTGCGCGCGGCTCCGTCAACGGCATGTGGCCGGCGACAATGACATCGTACCGCATTGTCACATCCTGCAGGGAGGTCGAAAAGGCGTGCAAGTCCGCCACGGTCACCACCACCGGGCCGGACGCGTACACGTCCACGTCATTGACAACACGCACCTTCACCTCCTCCGGGCGCAGCTCACGCCGCAGCACCGGATGCACTGTGCGGGAGCGCAACGCTGCCTCCACAAACGACTCTACTGACACACGATGGTAGTTCCCGCCGGCCTCCATGCGACGCATCGGGCAGAACGGTGGCTTGTACACAGCAAAAGTGAACCAGCGCGACAGCACGGCCTCATCGCAGAGCAGTCGCAGCGACTTGGGACTAATGAGGTGCATATTGCGAAGAAATCGTGTCTGTAAATCCTCCGCCGAGACTGATGCGGAGACCCAAGCCAACTCCGCAGCATTGCGCAGGAGCGTCTCCTTGTTGTTCCTGCGCAAGATATCTGTTAGCTGCCTCGATGGGGCCTTTGAGGTCATTCGGTTTTGTTGTTGTTTTGTTTCTTCTTATTTGCCTTTTTGTCCCTCGCTCGGTGCAAACCTTCTTGTTTTCGACTACAGCCTCACCGTTGCGGATCTCCAAGTGACAATCCCTGCGTGGGGACGAAATTATGTAGCGGCGTGAATGTACGCCGGCAATTATATATATATATATATATATATACACAAAAAGGGGGAAAGGGGTGGGAATAATCTCTCTCATGCACACAACGTACGAGCCTGCAGTCACACGGCAAGAAGCAAAACGGCACCAGCAAGGGCGCAAAGTAAATAAATAAACATATACTTAAATACGCATATGTGAATGCATATGGCGGCCCTTCCTTATTATCCGTCTCACATACAAGCATACATACACGCGGCTTCCAGATTGTAACGAGACCGAGACGTTCAGCGGAAGTTGATCAAGTTCCTACCACGAGACCTTAACCATCACTACCCCGCAGTCGTCAGCAGCAGATATTGCTGTTGTTGGTGTGTGGGTGGGTGATACGCAAGACGTGTGCTATGAATCCGCGCGGGGCGCTGTCGCGGCTTGCTGGATCAGCAGTGCAAAGGTATACTCGCGTGCAATTTCCCTCAGCTTCTCGTACCTCCCCATGGGCCCGCCGTGGCCCACAGCAAAGTCACAATAATGCAGAAGCACCTGCCGCCATTTGGCGGTGTCTCCCGCCTCCGCTCGTGCCCGCAGTCGTGCGGTAAATGCAAGCGATTCCCAAAACCCGACACGTGTGTCGTGCCATGCTGTCAGCAGAAGCATGTGCGGCAATGGGACATCCGCTGGCGGAATGTTGTCCATCGGCGAGATGCGGCGCAGCAGGCGATAGGCGTCGGCGTCATCGCGTGGGTTGCCGAACTCCTCCCACTCGCAAACGGTGAGTGGGAGACTGTCGTCCATCAGGGTTGTCAGACAGTCGACAAACGGCACCGACGCGATGACGGCAAGCGGAAGCGATGGCGCGACGCACATCGCCGCCGACACCACAAACCCGCCAGCCGAAGAGCCGTGCGTCACAAGTCGACCTGCCGCACACCAGCCGGTCTCCTGCAGATAGCACGATACACTCACAAAGTCATTGACACTCGTTGCCCGTTGCAGCTTGCGACCCGCGTCGCGCCACGGGATGCCAAGCTCCCCGCCGCCACGAACCCCCGCTGCCGCCCATATGAAGCCGCGGTCCAGGAGTGCAAGCCGCTCCGTCTCAAAGACAACATCGCAGCAGTCACCATACGATCCATAGACTGTCAACAGCATGGGGTTTTCACCGTTACGTCGAAGTGCCTTCTTCCAACAGAGGTACACAGGCACGCGCACCACCGCGGCAGGCTCCTTTGTGGGCAGCGGCCACAGCATTGACGCAAACGCATCGCTGCTAAATGCATAGTCCGACGGAACCCACACAACAGTGGCGTCGTACTCATCGGCGTGGTACGGCCTCCCACCTGTCCCCACCTCACATAAGCGCCTGACGCATAATGTGTCGCCCACTTCCTCAAGCGTACACTCAATGAGAAAGGTAGGCAGCGTAAGGTGCGTCACGACAATACGCCACGTTCGAGTATTGAAAGAGACATCGTCTGTGGAATTCATGAGATGGGAAATATACCCTTCCTCGTCCTCATCCGGTTTCTGCTCTCGCTGCTCCTGCAGTAGTTGGTCCACAGAACAACGCACCTCACCCGGTAACTGGAACGGACGACAAACAACATGGCGCAGGTCCACTGTATCGTTCCGGAGAGCGAGCGGAGGCATGTTCCCCGCGTCAAAGGTGCTCCAACGATCCCAGAGTACGCGCACAGGCAGGAGAAGCACCGTCGACGACGCCGCCCGCCTCACGCTGAGAAGCAAGTAATCCCGCATACATTCCACACCCTCAACGCTGATGGCCGGGTCATGCGTAAAGAGCGGTCGCCAGCAAGAAGGGTCCGACAGTGTACGACCACAGGCGGCACTACGATGGTCGCCCACGTCGTCCAAGACGTACGCCACCCGAAAGTCGTCCGGTCCCGGCGGGGCATTTGTCATCGTCACCACCCACGCTCCCAGGCCCTCCCCGAAAAAGTGAGTCGTGATGGTCAACATCGTAGTCCATCCCCGAGTGCCGGTCCGCAAAGCAGTGCACCGCACACTTGTTTATGTGGAATTCCTCTCCCTCCGCCTTTGCTGCGGTGTGAGCTACAGGAACCCCATTGACGCATCGCTCCACCCCCGCCTCACAGGGAATGACGTACACCTCCGTGCAACTCCCTGAGGCGACAGTGAACATGGCAAACCGCCCATCGGCGGAGAAGCAAAGGGAACTGACCCAAAACGCCTCATCCGCCTCCTCGTAGCAGATGATGTCCGCCTGTTCTGCGTTTACAGGGGCAGTGAGGTCGTGGTAAATGACGCGGCAAGAGCGCATCTTCCCATCCACGCCCAGGTAAAGTAGCGAAGTAGGAGAAAGCCAAAGCACCTCGTCTGCAGCATCAAAGACCTCGATTCGACGCAATATTTTATGTGCCGGTTCCCCTCGTTGTGTTGACGCCGTCGCAGAGACTGTCGTTGGAGTCGTTGTGGATAACGATGTAAAAGACAAAGGTGTAGAGGAGGTCAGCGCGTGTTTCTTTTCCATATTCCTTCTCATCGCGTGGGCGCTGCCTCCCACCCTTGAAGTACCCCCACTAGCACCGCTGCTGCTGCTGCTTCCAGTTGGTGTCGTTGGGCTACGGTGTGTCGGGAGAATAGACACGGGGGAGGCGTAGATGGACCGGTCCGAACGCATCACCACCTCCACCCACGCGCGGTGCATCTCCGACCGCCCATTCAGCCATTGCACATAATTGACATCGGTGATGTCTAGTAAAAAGATGGTGAACAGCTCCTTTCCGTTGCTGCAGTCCAAAGTCAGGGCAAGACGTTGCCCGTCGGAGGACACCTCCAAGTCACCCAGCTCAACGTAGCCAAGCCGCAGCTCCTTCATGAGAAGGTTCATGTCGAGGTACACCGCCTCGTCGTCGTAGAAGGGCAGGGTGGCAGTGGGATTGCGGTTCCACATCTCTGCCACCTCATGCATGAATCCCGCCGTGTGCTCCGTAAATGGGCGGCGACAAAAAATTGGGTGGTCCGCGTTGGGCACAGTGCGAGTGTAGTACCAGTAGTCACGGTCGCGGTACGGAAGCGACGCATCTTCCTCCTTCCAGCGAGCCCGCATTTCACTAAAAAGGGTGCGGCAAAGTCGATCCCCACCGTAGGCCGCAAACACTGACTCCATGTGTGCGTTCTCGCGCTGCAACAGTCGTCGCACCTCCGGGTTCCGGCGGTCACGCAGCCAATAAAACGGATCTACACGAACGTCATCAAAATGCTCCAGCTTGTGCTCCTTGCGGGGATACATCGGCGGACTCACGACATCATCGGCACCGAAGCTGCTGTTGCTGCCAGTGTTGGGCTTTTTGTCGCCCCTTCTTCCGTTGTTCCCCCTCTTCCTGCCTTTACCAGCCGCGTCGGGCCGCATTGCAACTGTCGTGTCGCCTCTCGCCCCCTCGTGATGTGAATACCCTTATATATATATATATATATATAAGCGAACGTGCGTGTGCTTTAACCACTTTACCCCGGCAGCAGCATCTTTTCGTTTCGTATTGAGTGGTGTGTAAAGAAAATGTATGCGGGAGAGAAAATCCACCAGTCAGCACATCCCCGGGCATGCTACACAGGGAATTTAAGCAGAAACAGATAACTAGCTTGCTGCATCGTCGCTACACTTTAGCACCCCCCCCCCCGCTTCAGAGCATCTCAAATGCAAGAGCACGTGTGTTTACCCTCCTCAATCCGGTGCGCTACACACCACCCACCACACACACACAGTAGCACGCAAGCAAAAATATAAAAAAACAACAGTAAGAAGAGAAACAATTTCATTTCGCTGTCGACTTCAATGATGGATGACTCTTCCTCCTTCCCCCTTTCCTGGTTATTCACTTTTCCTTTTTTAGCAATCAGATTCAGGGTATATGCTCTCTTTTCTATTATTCTGCATTTCCATTATCAATTACACACTCACCGGGCTAGTAGCCCTGCACTCCTAGCTTACGGGAAGTGGGGTTAACTGGCCCCGAACCCAGCCGCTTTAGCTCACGACGAATCTGGCGCTTACTCCGCTGCTTCTGCACGTGTTGTCTTTGTTGATGGAGCTGGCGCTCGTGCGCGATCGGTGGTGAGGCGCCCGCGACAAGCTCAATGATTCCGTCGTCGTCGTCGATGACGAGTTCCATCTCGCCCTCGTTGTTCACGAAGGTGTCCGTGACGGGGTCGAGCTGGTGGTTGGTGCGCTTCTTCCGCCGAGGCACGAGGCCGGTCAGTGCTTTTATGCGGTTCATGTTGGCCTCCACATTGAACGCCTCCTGCGGGGTGAGGACCCCACGCATGCGATTCGGCCGCGAGTAAAACATCGGCAATGCTGCCTTATTCACCTCCTCTTCCTCGCCCTCGTCGGCGAGCTTGTGCGCATAAATATCCCTGGGCGCATCGCCGTCCTCGCTTAGGGCACGGGCGTCTGCCGCGCTGTCGAGATTGTCCCAGTCTTCGCCATCGGCGTCGCAGCTGTCGCCCCCAACATCCTCCCAGGCGTCAGAGTATGTCTCGTCTTCATATCCATATCCATCGTCAGCCGCAGCTGCTGCACCGACTACGGCAGGATCAGTGTGGGGGGCCGTATAGCCGGGCGGGGGCTCAGCGTACAGAATAACACCATCTACGTACAGCTTCAGCACGTCCCGGGCGGCGCGAGACATGTTCGGTCTGTCATGCGCCCCCAAGTACCCACGTCGACGTGCCACCGCATTTAGGAAGCGCTCCGCCAGGGAGTGACTGTTGTCTACGTCTTCCTCGGGCCGCAGCGAGACATTAAAATGTTTCTGCAGCACCTGACACGGGATACGGCGACACAGTACGTTGACAGCCGACAAGACATCTGTGGCTGTGTCGATTGGGAGAATGCCGTCGCACACCATCTGCTCCCGTGTGGAAGCAAACGATGGGAAGACAAGGCCAGGGCAATCACACAAGGCGACACGGCGCTCGTCGGGAATGACAAGTGTTTGAAAGTGCTTTGTTTTGCCGGGTGTCGCACTGACCACAACTTTCTTGCATCCAAGAATCGCGTTGATCGTTGACGACTTCCCGACGTTGGGGTAGCCGACAAGGCCAACCATCAGCGGTGTGTTCGCGTCCTTGATGCCGTAGGTGGTACGCCAGAGAGCGAGGCGGTCCAGCAACTGCACAGGGTCCAAGATGGCCCATGGCAGCAGCTCCTGTAACTGCGACACCCGCGCATCACGCGCCTTTTCATTTTTAGTCGGTGGCGCCACCTTGCACGTGTTCTGCTTTGCGTGGCCCCGACGTGCCTTCTCCGCCTGCCGCTGATCAACGAGCTCGTACGGGTTTGCCACTTCCACCGGGGCTCGCAAAGACTTTTTGTTGTGCCGCCGTTTCCGATTGTGATGGGGCGGCAGTTTGAGAGTGATGCCGTCATCCACGCGAGTACCCTCGACATCGTCCACATGTTCATCCTCCTCCTCCTCTCCCTCCTCCTCGTTGTGGTTGTAGTGGTCAGTGGCGCTGTCGTCATCAGTCTCCCCCGTCGTTGCTGAGGTCGCCTTCGCGGCGGGGGTGGCGGAGAAAAATATGAACGGTTCCCCGCGCTCCGTGAAGTACGTCGCCCATGCGCTGCGTTGACTCTCCGTGAGAAGGTCGGACTTGTTCAGCAAAAAGATAATTTCCTTTGATCTCCCTGCGGCACTACAGGTGCCCCGCACGTATTCCTCAAAGTCGGCGCATCGGAACACGAGCGGGTTGCGGGCGTCAAGGATCATCAGCACCACATCGGCCCGCTCCACGACGCGCCACAGCTGCCGCCATACCTCCAAGTTCTTCTCGTACGGCGTCATGACAACTTTGTGTTCCTCCTCCATCTTCGACAGGCATCGCCGCCACTCAAAAAACGCCAACGTCTCCAGTGCCTGTATCTCCGCTGCGGACATGCCATAGTCCCACTTGGGTCGGCGCGGTATTGTCAGCAGCTCGCTAAGTTTGAGCCAGTCCACACGGTCATTGCTCATTGGCATGACCTTGTCGCTTGTCACGACATGTGGGGTACCGTCAACCACAACACGGAGATCGCGTGCCGCCTCATACCCCTTTTCGCGTGCATCCGCAATAAGAAGAAACTCCTCCAAGTTGCTCGTCTCCCAAATAGACTTCAATGGAGCGCCTTTTTGCTGGTATTGCTGCTGGCGTTCTTCCTCATGTATTATTGCTGCATCGCGTTCAGCGTCAACAAGCCCACGGTACTTTTCACGCTGGCTGCGTTGCGAGGACTTTTTGAGGCGCTGTAAACTCTTTCCGAGGAACTGCATTAGTTACACGCACGCACACCACTCCTACTAGACAACGCCGCACCACCACCGCCTCTGTGCCTGAGTAACTGCGTGTGTGCGTGTGTGCGTGTGAAAAACTGAGGCAAAAATAAAAATAAAAAAAGCTTACCTGTGGCTTCTGTGTCACGTACCTTCCTTCTGGCAGGACAAAATACACGCAGTGGCGCGACCACAACCTTGTCCACAGTAACGCGTAGGTGCAACGAACTGATGACGAACCCAAGTAAAGGAAGTAGAAATCACACACACAGAGAGAGAGAGAGAAAGAGAGGGACAAAGAGGTGGCATCACTGCATGAGTCAAAGCAAAGAAACAGAACACTGGCAGAAGATAAAGCAGGAAGGTCAACCAAATACAGACACACACAAGCCCGCACCTGTACTTTTTTTTTCTTTTTCTTAAATCCGTGATACTTTCTCCTCCGCCTCCAAATCAAAAGTAAACGCACCCACCCCGCACCCCCGACGCTACTCATCCTCAATTGTTTAGTACGACGCATCGTAGACCTTATCCTCTCCACCACCGTCAGGGGAGCGTTGGCGCTTTGGCATCATATGGTAGCTGCCCGCGGCAGTGCGCTCAAGCACACCCGTTGGTTGCATCCCCATCGGTGGAAAGAAGCCCTGATCTACTTGAAAGGATTGAAGGACACATGGTGGGGGCTGCTGCAGCTGATGATGGTGGTGGTGGTGGTGCACCGAAGGAACGGATCGTAGCTCACCGTGTCCATGGGCGTAGCTGCATTGATCACCCTTCACGCAACGGCCCACCGCAAAACGCTGACAGAGCTTCGTCTTGAGGAAGCTATCACGTGGGGCGGCATAGTACCCGTGTGAAGAGCCTTGGGGCGGCATGTGGTACGCCACACCATCACCCTCTACACCCTCCTCCAGCGCGGTGTTCTTTACTGCGGAGCTGGCCTGTTGTGAAAAAAAGGTGTTTGTCCCTGGCAGTGGCGAGGCTTCACCCCCTGTCTGCATCGCGCAGTACAGCCTCCAACTAGTCTCGTTAAAGCCGTAGTTGAAGTAATCCTTGAGGTTTGCCGCGGGTTCGTCCCATGGGCGCTTCTGCATCTGTGCAATGTCATATCCAAAGACAGTGCTGTTTACCTGTGGCCCACCAGCATGGCGCACGCAAAGTGGGATAAGTCCCGAGACATCTCCCTTTGGCTCCACATCCTGCTGCTGCTCCTGCCCATGTGGTTCATCTGTTACTGTTCCTCCTCTCACTCCTGCTGCTGCTGCTGGTGGTGGTGATTCTACACTCGTCAGAGAGGGTCCCGCAGTCTCTGCTGTGTGTCCACCAACAAACGGGTTCTCTTCAGTATCCGCCATCGCTTTCGTTTCCTCTCTCTCTCTCTATCTCGCTGTTTGTTTTGTATGTGAGCTTGGCTCCCTTCGGCCAATTATGCGCTTGATGACACGACTAAACAGTCCAACACAAACACTAGAAAAAAAGGAAGAGTCGCAAAAACGTTCATGCGCTCATATATATACGCATCCGTGTGTATGTAGCGATATATATATATATATATATATATTCATAAGCAGACATGCGGGAGGCTAAAAAAAAGACTCATTCCCTCCTCAGCTCTTCCTGCTATCGCTAGCCGCTTTCTCCCCACCCCCTGCAACAACAACAACAAAACACACAAATACAAATACACCCTCGCACCCACCTACTCCCCGCACACACACACACACATCGTTACGGAACACCGTACTACAGGGGCAACGGTACCACCAACAAGAATAAGACCTATGATAATGCTAACATAAAACGCGCTAAAAAGCGTTGTTGGGGGCCGCCGCAACCAACTTATCCGGGGATTCAAGAACTGCCTTCAGTGAGTTGTTGAATCGTACTAAGGTTGCACCGTCAATCACGCGGTGATCCGCTGTACTTGACAGATGCGCAATCGTCGCCTTGACAACATTGCCGTTGGCGTCAAAGCGAGGTAATACCTGCAGCCGCCCAAATGCAGATATCGCCACCTGTGGGGGAAGTAGTAGGGGGGTGGCGTACGTTGCCCCAATGGGGCCGACATTGCTGATGGTGAACGTGCCACCATGCAAGCTGTTTGGTGGGATTTGATTCTTGCGGGACAATTGAACCAACTCATTGACCTCCTGCACAACCTACATGATACTCTTTCCCTCCACATTTCGAACCACCGGAACGATAAGGCCCTTTGGCGTGTCTACCGCAAAGCCAATGTTATGTGCCTTCTTCACAATAAGGCAATCGCACTTGTGAGGAACATGTGCGTTGATGTAATGGTTCTGTGACAAGGCTATGGAAACCGCCTTAATAAACAATGGCATCAACGATATCTTGGGTGGGGCGTCGTCCGAAGCGGGTAACGCCAGTCTGCTCCTCAGCTCTTCGCGAGCAACCAACAGAGACGTCAAGTCAATCTCCTCGCACGCAGTAAAGCTTGGAATCTTACCCGCCTCTGTCATGGTGTTAACCATGGCATGACGAATACCAGTGAGCAGTGGCACCACCTCGTCGCCCGCGTCGTTGGCATGACCTTTCACATATGCCTCAACATCCGATTTTAAGATGATCCCACTCTCACCTGTACCTACCACATGTGCGAGGTCAACGCCGCATTCACGCGCAAACTCCCGCGTTGCGGGAGTGGCCAATAACCTTCGCCCAGCCTTCTGCGCAGGAGGAGCAGGCTGCTTCTCTGTCTTGTCTGAAGTGGTGGTGGCGCCGGGCGTTGTATGTGTATAGGCTTCCGGCGGAGGTTCATTGCCATCCGCGTCGTCGTCGAGCTCGATGTCGACAAGGGGGCGACCGACCAGTGCGGTCTCGCCGGCCACCACGTGGACGGCTGAGATGACCCCCGCATACCTGGAGGTTATGTCCACCAACGCCTTATCACTCTGCACTTCACATATCTTCTCAAACTCCTTAATCCTGTCTCCCTTCTTTACACAGACCGACACCACATCCACCTGTCGAATGCCCTCGCCAATGTCAGTCAGCTTGTACGGGAAGATCCTTCCCCAGCGGGGAAGATTGGCGTGTATAAACCGCACCGCAGAAACAGAGTGCGGCCACAACAGGGCGAACCGTCGCATAACGCAAAATTATCCGCAAAAAACTTCCCCTTTCGATCCAGAACCTCATAGGCAAAGGCAAATACGGAGAATAAAAGAAAGCATCACGCAGAGTGAAGACATCAGTGCAACCCTGCGTCACACCCGCCATCTCGCTCGCGCCATCCATAGTTATCGACGACAACCGAAAAGGAAAACATGATCCTACACACGTAAAAAAAGAAAAAAACACATATATTCTGTGTATACGTATATATGTCGCTATTGGAGGGCCAGAGAGAGAGAGAGAGTCTGAGCAAGGTACGTGCTTCCCTCCACCAATAACTTCTAAGGCAAAAAATTCTATAATGTGTGCATCTATGTTACTCAACCTGGGCGACGCCGCATGGAGCCCCCGCCTCGCCTCTCTCGCACACACCATCACCGTCTCTCCGGCAATCAAGCATGTAGGCAATAATAAATGTAGTATATAATCGTTATAATTCTCTCTTCATTCCTGACATTTATTGTAATGGTCAGCCTCTTCCACTTTCTTTTTTTTTTTGTGTGTGTGTTCCTTTCTTTTTCAGTGTTTCTTCCACATATGAGTTCTATCGATCTACACCGAACGCATGCGCAACTTCAGTCGAAGTAACGCAGCCTTTAGTTGTTCCGCTGTCATAGTGGGGTACGAGCGAGAGTGCGTGGATGACAGGGACGGACCGGTGCTGATACTGCTGCTATCATTGCTGCTGCCACTATTGGCACTTGTGCCAGTACTTGAGGTACCGGTCTCTTCTTCCTCCTCATCGGTGCCCCGCTCTTCACGTGCTTCTTTGCTAGGGCGATGTGCCGGTGAGGGCACAGAGCTCATCGGGCTAAGACTCACGTTTCCGTGAAGCGTGGAGGCATCAATCGTCCCGCTGTCTTCAGCGACGGCAGAAGACGCCTTCGTCAGCTTATCCTGCAGTACCTTGAGGTTGCGAAGAAATCGTTCGTGATGCAGCGCCAGACCCTGCGGGTCGTCAAGGGTGTACGCAGGCTCTGCAACAGCCGCCTTCGTTGCGGTCGCAGCTGGTGGGCTTAAAGAAATTGTTGATGGCGGCGGTGGTGGCGGCAGTGGCGAAGCAGGCAGCGGCGCCTCCAGCCCCGCGGAGTGCTCCAAAGACCGTGGCGTGTGAGTTGGCGATGGCGTCCGTCCGTCTGGCATCACCCCCGGGGACATGAATGTCGGCTGCGGTGCGGCGGACGCCGCACTTGGCGCCTCACTTCCCGCCTCCGACGCTGCCGTTTCCTCCGCCTCGTCGGGGGTGATGTGCACATGAAAGGGTCTCGGGTGTAGCTGCACGGCAACTTCCGTGTCGCCCGGCAACAAACACGACACACTGGAGAGAGGAAAGAAGCGCGCATCAGCCTCCCCATCCTCCTCGTTCTCTGCAGTCGTCGAGTCATCAGTGGAGGACAACGGCCCACGGAGGAACATCCGCTCAAATTCTGCCTCCTCCTGCGCCCTAAGCGCCGCCGCCCGCCGTGTCTCCAACTCCTTGCCGCTCCTTGACGTGTCCTCCTGAGGCCCCGCGGAGATGCGTTGCTCAAGAGCCGCCACATTCTCCGCCCGCCGCTGCGCTGCCTCGCGTGCCTCCTTTGCCTCTTCTTTGCGCTTCAACAGGTACGCCGCCGCCCGCTCCGCCGCCCCGCGTTGACTCTGCCAAAGCAGTTTTCTCTCACTCGCCAGTTCTCGCCGGCGCTCCTCGCCAAACCGCGCAGCGGCAGCATCCCCGCGCGCTGCCGCAGGCTGCGCGTTGTCCCCATCTTCAGTCGCAAGCGTTGTGTTTGTGGCCGGTGCTGGAGGAGACGTGCGCTCAATTGCTGTGTACGAAAGAGCGCCAACAAGCGGAGAGCTGTGTGACGCAAAGGACGGCGGACGCGGTAACGGTCTAGAAATCCTCGCCTTGCTACGTCTATCCTCGACCCCCCGCGTGGCCCTCTTGCGCTCCACAATACCACGATGAGGCTCTTCTTGCAGTGCCCGCGTGACACGCTCCGTGGCCATGGCGATGCGGTGGCGCTCACGCTCCAGTGTGTGCTCCGCCACCCACGCGTTTAGTTCGTCGCTTGCGTGCTGTTGGTGTGCCGCCGTCAGTCCGGCCGCCCCTCGCATCCCCTCGCCCAGCCTCGACTGTCCGTCATACAGGACTCGATCAATGAGTGCGGCCTGCTGCTGCACCTCGCACTCCCACTGCTTCCGCATGTCGTTTCGCACCCTCATCGCCTGCACAGTCTTCTGTGCCGCGTATGCACGGGCCCGCTGCACCCCCATCGCACTCCCAATACGTCGTGCCTCCTCGAAACGCGCGCGCCGCAGCGCCGCCTCCTGCTGCTCCCGCGCGTATTTCAAGGAGACCATTCACCTTATCTGTGAGTCTGTGCCTGTGTGGGTCTGTGCTCAATTACAGCTTATTTTATTTCCCCCACCTCTCGAGACGCCGACGACGTTGTTGTGGTTGTGGGTGAGTGGCAACCTTTAAAACTCGGAAACCCAGGAATCATGCACAAGAACAAAAAAGAAGAATAAAAGCATCGTGACTCACTCCCAAAACAAGAACAGTACATCTCAAGAAATACACTGCGCAAGGTCTTACCATAATGTGTGTGTGTGTGTCTGTATGTATGTATCCGTAATGTATCTACCACTTCACTTTCTATGGATGGCCCTGTGCGCCAGGTGAAGACTCGACACGCACCACCGAGGGTGATGACATGTTACCGTCAGGGGCATATTCCGTCGAGTTCCTGGACGGCACGTTTGACGACGTCACACCTCCTGCAGAGGAAGAGAGGCGACGACGATGACGCGTCGTGGAGTCAAACCTACGCAATGCCTGCGATACAGTGGCCGAAAACTCCCGCAGCTGCTCATCCACATTGTCTGCTTCCCGCTTGTAGGAGCGATGTGTGGCTGCACCATGTTCTCGTTCGTCCTCTAACAGACGTCTACACTCCGCCGCTCGGCGCTCACTACACTCTGTCTCACGCCGGCATCGTCCAACCTCGGCACGCAGCTCTTCTTCTATACGACCATGTGCTTCTAGTTCAGCCCTCATCGTCTGGAGCTCCTGCTGTACAGCCGCAAGTGACTTCAGCTCGGCTTTGCAACTCTGCTGCTCTGTGCGTGCATTGCCAAGCTCCCTCTCCGTTTCCTGGAGACGGCAATGGGCATGTGAAAGCTCTTCCCGCACGGTGTGCAGCTTCCCCTCTTGATCCATAATGCGTTGGCAGAGAAACGCCACAAGAGCCTCATCGGTGGTAACAAAATGCTCCATTTGCTCCCGCAGCCTTGCCTCCCCCTTGCACAACGCTTGCTCCACGTGATGGCTCGCATTCGTGGCGAGGTCCTCCACAGCACGAAGATGCCGCTGCAGTTCCCGCAGCTGTTGACAGGACGAGTTACACGCAGTAAGAACCTGCTCATGCGCATAAAGGGCCTCCGACCTCGCCGAGAGGGTGCGACGCTGCCCCTCGCTACTGCTGCTGTGACTCCGCCGAAGCACCTCCTTCGCACGGCCAAGCTCATACCGCAGCTCCTCCACGACACGCTGCAAGCCGGCCTCGTTGGCCCGACTCAGCCGCAGCGCCTCTTCCACCTCCTTTAGTCGCTGTGCGTTGTCGTGCTGGAGCTTCGCGGCTGTCTCCCGGTGCCCCGAAATCGCGGCGTTAAGGTCATCGGCGTACTTGCCGGCCTCTGCCTCAGTCCGAAAGAGTCGCTCCGTCAGCTGCTGCAGTCGTCGCTCTAACACGGCGATCTGTTCACGCTGCATGTGGCTCTCCTTCACTGCAGACTCCTGTGCCAGCCTCGACTCCTGCAGCTGCGCCTCTAAACCAGTCACCGTTACTTGCATCTGCGCCACAAGCCGCTCGTGCTCCTTCGCAGCACTCACCTTCACCCGCAGCTGTTGCATGAGGTTGAAGTTTATGTGCTTCAGGTCCTTCTCCAAACCCTCCTTCTCCACACTAACGGAGGTGAGCCTCTCGGCCGCCGCCTTGCACTGAGTGAGCAGCCGCGTGTTTTCCGCCTTCAGTTCTCTGTTCTCGTCGTTGAGGGCTGCGAGCAGCCGCTTCGTCTCCGCGAGTAGGGCCTCCCTTGCCGACTCCATTTCACCAGCGACAGCCTCTTCTGCTGGGTGACAGAAGTGGCAGCGAACACAGACACAAAGCAAAAAAAAAAAGGTATCAAAAGCAAAGAGAGCAAAAAAAGACACTGACAGTCGAAAAGGCGCGCGCGGAAAACAACACCACAACAACACAAATACAGTGGACGCACGCGCGCATCTGTTGGAAGTGGAACAGTTATCTACAAAAACTGCGGCCTGGGCGTGGGGAAAGTGGCAAGAAGAGCTACACAGCGTTGCACCACCCAGCAAACAACAAGAGGCCAAGCAAAGGATAAAAGCCACAATAGAGTTTGACCGCAACTACACGCATCCCTCTCACTCATTCAAAAAGCTAAGCGCGATTGCAGAAAGGCCTTTGCCATGGGAAGCCCCAGTTTGGCCACTGCAAGGAAGATGTGAGTCTTCTCCCTGGGGCAGCGTTCAATGATGTCCTCAATTGTCATCCATTCAACCTGAGAGAACTCTTGCAGCGCGCCGCTTCCTTTGAGTGGAATGAGATTCACCTTCTTAATGTTATCTGTTTGAGTGAAGAACAGCATGAGACGCTGCTCCTGCCCCTGAAAACCAAATCTCCGGAGATTGGCCGTGCTGCAAAGTTCATAGCGAAACTCCCTTGGATCACCGCTGGCCGGAAGAATCTCCCCCACGAAGTGAAGATCCTCCTGCAACAGGCCAATCTCCTCCTCCACCTCACGGTATGCAGCTTGGAGAACGTCAGTGTCTCGCTCCTCTATTCCACCCTGCACAAACTGATACCGATTCCCATGAATGCGCCTGCACCCAATAAAAAAAAGATCCTCATTAAAAATGACAGCGCACACGTTCTTTCTGTACATGGACTATGTGCGTGTATATGCCTCCCTGTTTATCTACGCGTATGCGTGTGCGTGAACCAATCCGTATAGTGTATATTATGTAATATAATTCCCCTTCCTGCCACTCCTTTGCTTAAGTACCCCCACCCCCCACCCACCCACACGCACATACATATACACACACCACATACACACATTCGCAAACAACAACAACAACGTCAGTGATAATATGGTAAGAAATAAACGCAACAGGGAGTCTAATGGATTGGGTGGACGGGAGCAAGGGAGACTTGAACAGAGGGAGTGCGTGTTTGCATGTTTGCAAAAAAAAAAAAAACAGCAAGGCGGCTGTGCACCACAAACACAGACATTCGTTCCGATTTCTAACCCCACGCCATTATCCCCCAGTGGTAGGCAGAAGCGCTCCCACTCTGCTGCATCACTCTTCCTGTCGAGTGAGTGCACGGTAGTAGCGCCGTTTGTAGTCAAGAAGCTGCACGATTTCTGCGGCTTGCGGTGACGTCGGTCCACTTTTCGAGGCGGCCCACGCAACGATGTCGCCCAGGCGCTGCTGTTGAAACTCACGGCCCGGCGAACTCTGAATCGGCAGCCATCGGTTGTACGTTCCCGCAGGGTCCTTCCGTGTCCACGGGACAACTAACCGGCTCTCCTCCAGCTGCTCCATCATAAATTCAGCCAGCGGTGCAGCATCTGTAAATGTGACGATTCCGCGCGGGTCCGCAGGGTCCGCACGCACCCGCAGTAGGCTATGGACCACACAAAGAAAGTCCCGCGTGACAAGCCGTCGGTAGCTTCCACTCTCTGACCAGAATGGAACAGGCATCGGCACGACACACACGTCGGCCGTGGCAGGCGGAATAAGGCGCTGCAGCAGGAAAAGCGCATCGCTGCGAACAAAATGCACGCGTGGGCCGTACTTGGGCACCAGCGCGGTGGCTGCATCCAGCAGGGCCGAAAGCGCGTGATCTACTACAAGCACGCTATGCACCTCATCCATCGCCAGCTGCCGTTGGATGTATGCAACGCTGCGACAACCAACAATGAGCACGTGGCGTGTGCCCACCGACGTCCAGGGGCAAATAAGCAGCCGTCGAAATTCTTCGGTGGCATGTGCGGCAAGCAACGCCCGAAGCTCCGCGCGGTGTACGCCGCTCGTAGGCGGCAGCACCGCCAATTGAAACGCAGGGAAGTACGCAATAGCCTCATCGTACGTCGAACGAACGATACCGTCGTGCCGCCCCATGTTATCCGCCACAAGCGAATCGTGACGCCGCACGGCATCGTGAAGCTCCTCCTTCTGCAGCTCCGCTGTTGAGCTGCGGGTAATGAGGGCAAGTTTGGGTGCCAGCAGCAGGGCATGGAAGCGCCTCGACAGCATCTCTTCTTACAGAAGAGCAGAAAGCAAACCGTCCCTTCTCTCTTCCTTCCTCCACACCTAAAAGAACGAGACACACAACAACAGCTGTAAATAAAATAACAACGACAACGGAGCAATTGAAGAGACCCCACAGAGAAAGAGCGAGAAAGTGTGTCTGCATCTGGAGTGCCCTCATGCGACACCGTCCACAGAAGTGTCCCAAGCTCCGCCTTCCTGTCTCTCTCTCTCTCTCTCTCTCTCTATCCTCGCACCACATAGAGCGAGGGAGAGCGGTGTGCCAATTGGAAGTTCATGGCGGCGACAGTGGATCTCGCACCGGGATACATCGAGCCTGGGCCCATAGCCTCACCTCATCGTCCGACATCTCCAGCAGTTTTTTTAGTTGCTTTCGCCGCGTCTCCAGCCCTCTTCCGTAGCGACTGCGGTAGTACCTACTCGCATAGCGTGCGTGCAGCATGTCCTTCTTCACTCTATCACACTGGGCGGGGAGTTTCTCCAGCATCGCCGTCACCACCTCCTCGCGGCTGCCCTCATCTCGCGGCTGCACCTCCCGCAGCAGGCGCCGCAGTGACGGAACAAGTGGGAGCGCCACCGGCTGATGAGAGAAGGGCGTCGGCAGCAACGCACGACCCAACACCATGGAAGAGGGGCGCATGACCATCCTTGTCAACGGGCCACGGTAAAGTGTGCACCGGTCCCCCCACCACCTCCTACGCTTCCTGCCCACCACCAATACCAACACCAACGATGGCCCTGCCACAGGCATAGCGAGGCACCGTCCCATGCAACTCAAAGCAATCGAAAAAAAAAAAGTAAAAAAAAATAATAATAATAATAACAGAAAAGCAACTAAAAAAAAATGGCGACAAAGAGACCATAATTCAGCCTTTCTTCTTTCGTTCTTTTCTCCTCTAATTCATCATCAAGCAAGAACGACATCACTGCTGCTACAGAACCTTTTGCATATATATATATATGTATATGTATATATATATAATGAGGATGCGCACGTAGTGGCATCGCATAAACGGGGCAACACCAACCAACGCCAAGAGCGACAGCGGCAGCCAAAGAAAATATGTAAATGAAATACATACGCGCACAGATATATATATATATATATATCTGAAAAAGAGATGGAAATGGAAAGAAGAAAAGCAATAATAAAGACATACTGCAATATCTTACACTCATACGTTGTGTTCCCTACTCTTTCTTTTTTTTTGTTATTTCATTATTTTTTTTTTTTGTTTCTGTGGTGTTTTACTGTTGTTATGATGAACTTTACCCCTCTGCTTCCATCGCTTCACCCCACATACCTTAACAAGCAAGATGCAAACCGTACACATGCATATATATATGCTTTTACTGTAGGAGCATTTCAGCCACACAGGAGCTTTTCGCGCATGCTCCTTAAGGTTAAGGACAAAATACCACTACTTTTTCGTCTTTTCCCGAGCACCCCTCCCCCTCGCGTCAACCTCCTCTCTTCACTTGAAAGAGAGAGAGATAGAAAAACAAAAACAAAAACGATGCGGAAACATATACGTTCAATAGATACAAAAATGGCTACAGTGGCGGTGGTCGCAAAGTAAGAAATGATGGCACCAAACATCACTGCCATCACCACAACAACAGAGAAAGGGAGTGGTGGTTGAATGGAGCGGAGACGCGGCGTGAATACGGAGACCATTTACACGCGTCCAAGGGGAAAGTAAAGCAAATATCAACCAGAAAAACATCACGCCCTAAAAGAAAGATATGAAAGTGAAAAACAGGACAAAAATGCATATATCTCCCCTACCCATGTCCTTTTTCTTTCCCCTTTTCTTTCTCACCCTCTTCCCGCTTTTTTTCTCCCTTTATTGTTTGCTTTTCTTTCGAGTGCCTACTGCTCCCACCTCCCTCCCCCTTCACCCCTCACTTCCACAGTTTTCACCTCATTCCACTCACTGACGCTTGTGCCCCCTCTGTGGAGCCCATGGGGAGGTGCGAGGCAAAGAATACAATTCCAGAAAAACAAAAACAAAAAGCAGGCATCATGAAGGGGTCATTGGAAAATCGACGATGCATGCATCCACACTTGCATTGTCTGTGACATCGCTGTCGGTCTGTGAAGGAGAAGGAGGAGGAGAAGGTGATGCTGATGGAGGTGGTGATGAACATATTTGAACACTCATTTTCCTTCATATATGTATTCCCCCCTCCCACACACGTACAGTCCCTCTCCCTATCTCTTTCCATTTGCTTCATTTCGCTGCATTGCTTCATTCCTCATACTTCTGGTCGTAGGCCGGCGAGGTTGGCAAACAGTGGAAGGTGATGCGGAACAAGGGGCCGGGAAAGTCTTCTACATGCGCTTAAGGCGGGGCACAAATCCGGGGATGCTCTTACCCGGCGCGCGTGGAGAAACAGTGCCCTTCATATCCTTGGGTTCCTGTCTTTGTGGCTTTTTGATGGCCATACGCATCTTTCCGTTGGCTACTAAGATGCAGCCTGCACCGTTTTGATGCCCGGCATAGTCAGAGGTGGAGAAGATGGTCACAACACGGGCGTTGTCGGACAAGCGTAGCCCATCCGCCTTCTCTTGGTGGGCACGAAAGATGTATTGGTAGTTGTAGCGCTCACAGAACATATCCACGGCGCGGGAACCAAAGGTCTTAATGTCAGGCCCACGCGGGTTCGGCCCAAAACCGTACTTGTCAAGTTGATGGTTTGGTGGGGCAGGGTCGGACCACAGCAAGTCATTCACCATCATGCGCTGCGCTACGTTGGTCGGGTCCGTGCACTGTACTACAGGGATGCGGGGAAAAGAAGGATCGGAGAGAATCTCCAGCCGCTTATCCTCCCCACCCGTGTACTGTGGGAGCCCACCATGAACGCAGAAGATCTTCCTATCAATATCGGCAATCACAGGAAGAAACTGGAACACTTCATTCACAGCGACCCAGACGTCAATGCCGCGCTCCCGACCAAACTTTTCAAGACACTGATACTTGAAAGAGCTGTAGCCGTACACATCCATGTCCCCATTCACCTCCGGTGACTCATGATTTCCACGCAGCAATGTCACCTTCGCCGGGTTAATGAGCTTCAGAGAAAGAAGGTACATCACACATTCTAAGGAAAAGGCCCCTCGGTCCACGTAGTCGCCAAGGAACAGAAGATGGGTTGTGGTGTACTTGAGCATAATGTCATCAAACCCCACCACCTTCTCCAAAAAATACGCCATGTCGGCAAAATTACCGTGAATATCACCAAAAACTGTAATAGGTGATTTGAGACGAACGAAAAGCGGTTCCCGTGTCACCACCTCACGGCATTGATTACATACAGAAATAACAAGTTTGCAGAACTCCGGAAGGTTTTCGTAAGCAAATCCATTACGAGTAGAATTTGCTGCGCGACGTATCATCTCAATGAGACGAGCCGCATCGACATGCGGCTGCGTGGGGGAGTTCATGTAATTTCGCATGTCCTGCAATTGAAGCATCGTACTGTGACTGGCCACTGCCTCATCAAACGCCCGAGACTTCGGCGTTGAGCCCGGTACCATACCCGCCCGTGGCGTGTCTGGTTCCGCCACCCCTTTTTGTCCCACGGCGTTCTGCAGCAAATCCACAATTGTAACGGTTTGTGGAAGGTTCACAAAATCATCCTCACAGAGAAGCACGTTCTGTGAAAAGACATACCTTTCCGGTAAGTTTGCCGCACCCCCAATGCCTTGAGAAGCCTCATGAGCGCGCCTTTCATCCTTGCGTTTCCCATGGAATGCGGGTTCCACCAATATCACAGTTTCCAAAAGCCGCAGGCGTTCCTCCATCTTGAAGACAGTGTTAAATACATTTGGTATAAGTTCCGGGGGCACCTTGGAGATAAAGGTGTTAAACTCCACGGGGGTGATCTTCGCATTGCTGATGCAGTCGTAGTTTGTGTTGCTGCGGCCCGAGTTGATTTCTTCGGTCGTGATGAGGTCAAGTTCAACCGACCAGTCCGGTTTCAGAGTCTTGATGCGGCCAACTTTGTACAACGCCTTGCCATCGGTGGAGTCCTCCACGCGGCAGCGGACAAAAAAACCCGACACGAGCGCAAAGAGCCTTGAGCGTATCTTGTGGTGCCATTCCGAGAGTTTTTCTCGATTGATCGTGACGCCCTGCGCCATCTCCAGCGTAACGAGAGTCTCCGTGCGGAAGGAGGGAGTCACGCTGAGCGGGGTGAGGTCTGGCGGCGCCTGCGGCGACGACGGCACGTTGGGTGGGTCCATTATCCGCGTTACTTGCCAGGGCGTTGTTGGTGGTGATGGACGCAATGGATGTTTTTTCACACTTCGTGCTTGACTTGTAGTTCCCTTCGCTTCGCTGCTTTACGTGGGCTTGCAGGGAGGCCGTGTAAAAAAAAAGAAGAAGAAAAAAAAAAAACAGTCAGCTCCCCACCACAAGGAAAACTCCACCCACTCCGTCCGCTCACAGTGGCGCCAACACCACATCCACGGAGTTTGGACGAAACGAATTGCAATGAAAAGTAAACGACATCGTGCTGACCTCTTTCTTCCATTATATTTGTTGTAGAGGGGGAAGGAGGAAAGCGATGGTGGTGTACAACCGTGAGTTGCGATAGAAAGCAGAACGATGCAACAAGAAACAGACAAAGGGGAGGAGCTATTGGATAGATATTATATATATGTTGCCCCCAGCGAAAACACATACATGAGTGAGGTAAGCAAGGTGGAAAAAAGGGAAAAAAGAAAAAGAAAAAAGTCAATACCGCTCATCCTTCCAAATGCATATCCACGCGCACGCATATATATATATATATATATATATATATATATATATATATATATAT